CAGTGTACCAATAGCAATCAAGGCTTAACTACACCAAGACTTTGCACTCAACCCACAATGGGGTGTACCAAGAGCGTCTACCTCAAATGATTGGGGAGGCTGAGCTACTGGCCCCTATAGGTCAGCTACCACACATAGCCACTCCATCAACATAGGGAAGCAACTAAAATGCGGAGACAGAGAAACATGTCATGAACGAAAGAAATGGAGGAAAGCAAACGACTGGAAGACACAGAGTTCAAAACCACATTTATAAGGTTACTCAAGAATCTTCTAAAAACCAGTGAGAAACTTGAAGAGACCTTCAAGGACCTTAATGAGAATGCCAAAAAAAAAAAAAAATGGAAAAGGATCAGTTAGAAATTAAGCATACACTGCCTGAAATAAAGAATATATAGAAACTCAACTATAGATCAACATACCCCAAGAATCAAAACAAAGATCTGAAATATGAGGAAACAAAAAACACCCAATAAGAAAAACAAAAAGAAAAAAGAATCCAAAAATATGAAGATAGTGTAAGGAGCCTCTGGGACAACTTCAAGTGTACCAACATCTGAATTTTTGGGTGCCAGAAGAAGAGAGAGAGCAAAATATTGAAAACCTATTAGAAGAAATAATGACAGAAAACTTTCCCTACCTGGCGAAAGAAATAGACTTACAAGTTCAGGAAGTGCACAGAACCCCAAACAAGAGGAATCCAAAGAGGACCACACCAAAGACACATTATAATTAAAATACCAAGGGCAAAAGACAAAGAGAGAATCTTGAAAGCAGCAAGGGAAAAACAGTTAGTTACCTACAAGGGAGTACCCATACAACTGTCAGCTGATTTCTCAACAGAAACTATGCAGGCCCGAAGGAATGGCAAGAAATGTTCAAAGTGATGAACAGCAAGAACCTACAACCAAGATTACTCTACCCAGCAAAGCAATCATTCAGAATTGAAGGTAAGATAAAGAGCTTTACAAACAAGAAAAAGCTAAAGGAGTTCACCACCACCAAACCAGGATTACATGAAATGCTGAAGGGTATTCTTTAAGAACAGGAAGAAGAAGAAAAAGTATAGATAAAAATTATGAACACAAAAAGACATCAAATACCTACCAACAAGTGAATCTAAAAATGAAGTGAATAAAAAATCTGAAGAACAGAATGGACTGGTGAATATAATAGAATCAGGGATATAGAAAGGGAGTGGACTGACAATTCTCATGGGGCAGGGGGTGTGAGGGGTGTGGGAAGAGATTGTACAAAAATCTTACACCTATGGATGAAGACAGTGGCAGGGGGTAAGGGCATGGGGTGGGATGGGAAATCAGGTTGAGGAGAGCTATGGGGGGCGGGGAAAGAGGAACACCTGTAATAATCTGAACAATAAAGTTTTATTTAAAAAAAGAAAGAAAACTCCCCCACTTCTCCAGGGAGAAAGTGAATGAAATGGGGACCAAGACCAGTAATAAGGAAAAAGTAATGACATTTCCTGGCCATTTTGATCAGTGCTTAGAGTGTCAGCCCCTATACTAAAGGGTCTTGGTTCCATTTCCAGTCAAGAGCACATACCTTGTCCCTGATCAGGGAATATGTAGGAAGCAACCATTCGATGTATCTTTCTCATATCAGTGTTTCTCTCTCTCTCTTTCTCTGTCTGCCTGTCTATCTCTCTCTCCCTGCACTCCATACTGATGGCAGTCATCTTCCACAGAAAGTTGGCAGGGACCAAATCTTCACAACTAGTGAACTCCTAGTAACTCCAGAATCTATGCTGACATTTATCTGAAGACTGAAACTCTTCCTTAATATCAAGCCACACAGCTGACTTCCTGAGTCTCAGTATAATGGGGTGAGCTGTGAACAGGATGTGGAAAGGGGAGCAACAGGGACTCAGGGGAGGGAAAAGCAGGAATAAAGAAGCACACACCTTCATCTCTGGTCCTGTTTAGCGGCTTCCTTAGCCAAATCTCCCTGATTTCTCACACTGCTAAGAGAATGGGTAATCCTCAACCCTGAGACCTAATGCAATGGGACCAGTCAGACTACAGAAACTGGCCTATGAGGTACATGTGTCTAAGTCCAGATCTCTTGGCTACATCTTTCTATCTCAGACCTCTTTGCAAGAGGAAAGACTCTGATGCTCTAGCACCCAGAAGATGCTCTAAAAAGAGAGAAAGTGGCCAGGGTGGCTCAGGAGGCACCTCTTGTGTTTGAGGAGTATGGGCAAGCTTGAACTGAGTCTTCACTCACTGGGGAGAGATGCTTTCAAGGTTCAGTTCCATCATGCTGCAGGAAAGAGAGCATCAGGAGGGAGTTGAAGAATACTGTCCACCACTAATTGTTTCCCTCCCCTAGAGTCCGCCATTCCCTGATCAGCCTCAGAGGACTTAGGGATACAGCAAGTCCCAGCATCACACAGCAGAAACAGCCCCAAAAATGTGAACGCACTTCATTTTCTCAGCTAAGTGTGAGTACAATCCCTTCTGCTGCTTGAAAAAGCAGTGCTTTTCCTCCCAATTACATTCTTTCCAGTTGTGATGTTGAATTTTTAATTTCTAATATTATAGAAGGGCATGGCTTTTTCATGCTTACAGAGGTGGCCAGAGTTAAAAGTCTGGGAAATCCTTCTCTGAAATATGTCCTATGAGATACTCCAACCATCAGAAATCACACAGATGAAAGCAAATGCTCGATGTGCCCAGAGGGCTTCAGAGCTCACGCTGCTCAATTCTATTGGCTGCAGAGTGTCCAAGATGGACTGCAAGGCAAAACTAGAGGAAATATTATTTTAAAAGCCTGGCAAGTTCAAGGAGGCTAACATAGCATGCTCTTCTCGGCACTAATAATTTACAAACCAGACAGTGAAGAACACGTGGTTCTGAATCACCCAAGTCTCAGACAGCAAGTGCCTGCCCTATTCCAGTTTCTGGAGCATCACCCCTGGAGCCTATTTTGACCATGTGGCCTCCAGGAATTATAGAACAGGCTGTAGAGAAGCAATGAACAAAGTTTCTGGGTTCCCAGGCACCTAGCAGCAGCTCTTGGGGTGGTTGGGTTAAGTCAAGATACTGGAGACGAAAAAAATCACAACCCTGAGCATGTAAGCTGGGAGAGCTGAAGGCAGAGAAGCAGTGCAGCTTCTGTCCGCCACTGGTAAAGGAGCAGCCAGAATCATCAGACAGATGAACTCAGGTGAGGCAATATCCGGGGCACTTGCATTTTCTATAATAGCATGCTGGCTTCATCAATAATATTCATTGCAAGTAAAGCTTTGAACATAGATAAAGCTCACTGATTTAACTTCTTACTGTTTCCCTGCTCTCATTTAAGGTCCCTGCAAGATACCAGCCCTTTGCCCCTATGAATATGTTCACTCATAGAATGAGGTCAAGTGTTAAACTCAAGTATTTGGACATATGAATCCACAAACTTACTAGAGTGCTTCTTTTTCAATATACCAAATTCATACATAAATATAATGAGCTGAAAGCAAATCAAAACTAAGGCTCTGACACCAGTTTTGCAGCTATTTAACTTTATTATATTTTAAAAGTAAGAAGTTTTCTGAATAAAAATGTTAAATACAAAATAATAAAAGTGAGAACTGTAAAACAGTATTTGTATAAACACCTGAGAACTGTTCACCAGACACAGCATCTTCACTCAAACAATTTCAGAGAAGAACAAATTTAAATTAAATTTTATTTTATAACACAAAGAAATAACATAGTTGAAACCACTCTTTAGATCGCATATGCCCAATAAGTCATTGTTTTTGTTTATAAATATAACGGACACTTGGTTTTCTCTAAAGGAAATGTACATGCTGGACCCTGGCAAACATTTATTGCTCTTACAGCAAATGACTAATACAGTTAGCACCAATTCTTACAGCTTATATTACAACAAATGTAATACAATATAAAAATGTAATAAATAACAAAATAATAATAATAATAATAATAGCATATCTTACTTGAAAGTTCTAATTTGTAAAATAAAGTCCAAAATGACAAATCCAACCTAATGTACCTTACAAAGTTTAATAGTATAAATGGCTAAGAAAGCAAATGAACTAGATATACTACACAGGATGGAAAACTAAAGCTGAGAGGTACTTGTGATGGCAAATGAAGTGCATATTCATTATAGAATAAAAACATCTCAATATATATAGAAGTGGAAAATGCCATTTTAAATTCAAAAAGATTCACTTGTGCGCACACTTCATATATAGAAAAAATACAAATATAAAACAGTATCCATATGAATATGCATTTTTTAATTCAACTTCAGAGAGAAATGTGAGTTATAAATGGCTAGTTAAATATCTAAGATTAGGCAAAATATTTTAAAGTTTTAAAATAACAATTAAATTTAATGGAGAAAAATAAAACAATACTTCATCCAAATTACCTTGTATTATAAGAACTATTGCATAAAACAGTCATTTTATCTTATAATTCATCAAAAAAATGGTAAGAAAACACTTTATGAAATCCTGTAAGGGTACTTTTTTTCTTTAAATCTGATCAAATACAATATACAGAGAAATAATAACAAAAGGGAAATAATTTAGATGGCTATTCCATTTCATATAGAACATGAACAGAATACTGCTATAACAGACACAAAATATTTGAGAAAAAGATGATATCTATAGGTGTATCTTCGAATTATCTTCTAAGGAGAACTTCTCATAGATTTTATTAGAGAACTTGTCAATCCCTGATACTTCCTCTTTGGGATTTAGCTGTTTTGGCTCTATATAGAAATATTAACTGAAATCAAAGGTGTTTCTCAGATGAAGAATATTTGAGCCAACTACTAATTTGAATACACTAATAGTAATGTGTTAAATGGTTTCTAAAGAAATAGAATGAATCAATATAGTTCTGCAATTCTGTATGTAACAAATTTTTAGAGGAATCTTCTACAACACAAAAATATCTAATGGCAATGGAATGATTTTACATCAATATGGTATTGGTCTTCCAGAATTAAATCTAATATACTTTAATGCTTCTTTCTGCTTTAAGCTTTTCGACATAGTGGCACAACTTCAGAGCTGTTCCTAGCTTAATTCCCATAAACTTTATCATAACTTCACTCTGGAGCAGTAGCAGAGCTATCCCGTCGATACCCTACAGAAAAAAGGAAATCAGAATAACTAATAATGATTTCATACCTTATCAGGAAAGTCATCCTATCTAATAAAGAGGGAATATGCAAATTGACCATCACACAGTCACAAAGATGATGGCACCCATAGCCACAAGATGGCAGTGCCCAGTTCCCTCAGCCCCACCAGAGTCCCCCAGTCCTTTCAGACCCACTGGGGGGGGCAGATGCATGATACAGCCAGACCAGCCCTCAGCCCCCCAACCCCTTAGGGCTGGCCTGAGGCACAGGAAGCCTCAGATGTCAGCTTCCCAGCCAACACCCAAGGTGTAGGCAAGCCTTGGATGCCAGCTTCCCAGCTTCCCAGGGCAGGACTGAGGTATAGGAAAGCCTCAGATGGCAGCTGCCCAGCCACCCAAGGCCACCCAAGGCTCAGGTAACCAAGCCCGGCTGAGGCTTGTGCTACTGGCAGTGGCAGCAGCAGAGGCGTGATGGGGGCATCACTTTTCCATGATCGCGGGGTCGCCTCCCACCCCTGAGGGCTCCTGGACTGTGAGAGAGGAAAGGCCAGGCTGAGTGACCCCCTGCCCTCCAATGCATGAATTTTTATGCACCAGGCCTTTGGTTTCTTTATATAGAATAGTAACATCAATTAGAGGGCAGCTCATTGCAGTTGTATATTCTCTGAACAATCAGCTGCTTTATGAAAACTATTAAAGATATAATTTGTATAGCTGAAGCATCATTTGATCCCTTACAAATTCACTTCAAATTTTAAGAATAATTATATTTAACCCAATATCCTAAAAATGTCCTAAGTGTCAAACTACCTAATTTTAAATACTGTATGTTGAATAAAATACTGCATAGCTAAGCTATGACAAAAAGAATAAAAGCTATGAAGGGCAGAAATAAATTTCAGATAATCATTAACTTTTTAAGAAAATCTGGGAATATGAGTATGGCAGGATCAATGCAAACTGTAAATGTGCATCATAACAAGGAGGAGACTCTTGTGTGGTGTAGTAGCTATCATTACAAAGGAGAAGATACCTGAGAGTGACTATGCTGAATAGTCTTTAATACTTAAAGACTTGTAATATTTTAGGTACTCAGGTATCCATTTAAAATACAAATCCAGCTTCTACCACTTAAGGATCTAACTTTGAGCTCAGTAACCTTTCTCACACATGCAGTTCCCTTACCATCCACACTAATTAGTATCAAATTGAAGAGCCTGCACTGAGGTCATTCAGAGGCAGGAAAACTGGATCAAAAGATACATTACGTGTTTCTTGAAGGTGTCGGCAATGGGGATGAATGCCTCAGGATCTGTATGCTCTAGAAACAGGACCACTTCATCTACTGTCCAAGTTGAAGGGTCCTGAGGGAAGCTTTGACTTAGCGGACACGTGACAGCTCCATCTGATGCATCTTCAATGGGGGAAAAAGACAAATCATCTTAAGTTGATCATTATCCTGAAAGAAGATATGTTAGGTAGCGGGTAATGGCCTTACTCCTGGAACCATCTGTTAGGTACCTCGGCAAGGACTCAAGACTCCAAGTTCAAAATCCAGTGAAAGCTTAAAGATGATGTGAGGATGAGCACCCCATCTGACTGCCCATGAATAACAACAGCAGCTTCCAAAGTTACTGTAAAGCTTCAAAACTCATAAGACAGACTGAGCAATCTGAGGTCTCTTTGGCCACAGGCAACTATAGCAAAAGATCTGTTACTGGGTTAAATAAGTTAATTTAAGCTAACCTATTATTCTCTAAGCATTTCAATGAATTTATCTCTTATTGCTCTGTCTAGATTAAGTTTATTTTACTAGCTAAATACAATGGGAATCCCCAAATTAAGCTTTATAATTTCTTAAATTTATTCACTTCAATAAATGAATTTCAAAAATCCCATTATCTTTGAGAACCAAATTAGTTCTTTACTGAATCCCTCCTATATATTCACTATGGATATTTTAAGCATCATTTTACTCTTTAAATTCCTTTCTCTCAAGGCTTACTTATCTGAATTTTGAAGAAAGCAAGATGATTTTATTCTTAGCTAGGTCAGAAGTAACTTCAACACTATATTGGGTACTTCTTTTGAGTTTAACTACACTGCAATAGCTATTTTGATTTAAGGTTTAAATGCTGAAAAATAACAGACATGAAACAACTGCAGTGCTCATACCTCAATACGTTTTAGCTAAGTCATGTTCACTAAGTCATGATAACATTTCTCTGTGTCTACATATATTCATTTTCTCAACCAGAGCACTCATATCTCTATAGTGTGTGATAACAGAAGTGGGGTTTGTAATTCTCTAGGAAGATTTGTTTCTCTAACCAAAGATCATCAATACAATTTTGATCTTCCTTGTGTGTGAATTAGCCAAAGATGTATCTTTTCTTTCCTATCATCCTGGCTCTGGCCATTTTAAGGTCATTCTAAGAATTTACCCTGTATTTACCTGGAAAAAGGTAAAGAAAAACAAAAGATAAAAATACTCACAATGGAATCATTATGAGTATTAGTGAAGAGGCATGTCAGTTGATTAGTGGTTGTTGATGAAACATAAGACACTTAATAAGTGTTAGTCATCTAAACCAACCCTCAAATAGGAAATGAACAGCTTCCACTAGCTTGCACCAAGTATGTTGAGGAATATAGGTTAAATAGTGCTACTTGTAACATGTGTCTTTTCACACTCACGGGCGACGCAGGAAGGGAAGTTACGGCTCAGGCTATCCTTTCCCAGCAATCTTGAGTAAGTCATCATCTCAGGGTTGTATGCCACACTGGATTTACCTTGCTCTAGCATAGCTGCAGATACTGATGTGGAATTTTTTGCACCTGATAAGATATTCATGGCACTGTGAGGCCCCTGATTATCAAAGGAGGCTATGAAAGGGGAGCGCTCCATTTGCTCATCGGAAATGTAATGTGATGAATCTTCCTGTGTGTAGGGAGGGAATGTTGGACTCTGGCTAAGGCGCATCTCATGATCCTCATTATCATGGATAATGGAATCCTGTGATGCATAATAATTTCCTACAATGCTGCTCTGGGAATCATGTTTGGGTCTTTTTACTGGTATAGTTGGGCTATAACTTTCTCCACAATGGCATGAAGCTGGAAGAGACATCTCCATCTCCATCTCTGTCTTCTTTTTCTGCAGTTTAACCTTTCTAGAAAGCAGGTAACTGTAATGTTTGTATGCATATCCAAGTGGTTTCTGAAATGACACAAACCCAGCATAATAAAGCAATTGTGAGTGAGCAAAAAGTAAATAAAATAAGTAGTAAAGACATCGATATTTATTAACCAATACAACATTGCATTCTATTATTAAAAAGTAATGTTCTATTTGATCATATGAGTTTTATTCCTCTTCAACCCCACCTTTTAATTGCAGTTTGTACATTCTGGTTACAAACATAAAAATACCCATTGTTCATACATTTCTTAAACCTAAACTTCAGCATTCTTCCTAGAAGTTCAGTCTCCTCCCAACTGTTGCTACAAGTATGGATCAGCCTCGCAATCTCACAGACTTATTAGTCCTCTCTCACTTCTAACTGACAGGCAATTTCAGCAACCATAGGTTTATGAAAATATTTATGACACTTACGCGATTTTGCCAGATTAATTTTGTACGAAAACGGTAAATTTTTGAAACCTTTCCATGAATGGTTTTAAACTTCTTATTCAGGGTTTGAACAGAATTTTGGATGATCTATAATAATAATACAATTTATTAGTAGGTTCTATGTTAAAAGAAAAGTTAACATACAAGAAAATACTATTAAGCCAAATTTTGACTACTACAATAAAAGTTCACAAGCCACCAGAAATGTCTTGCTTTCCAATTGATGCCTAGTTGTTGATGACATAGTTCACAGCGAGCTAACATAAGGAGTGTCAACCTCCTACACAACTACTTCATGTAATATAGGCATTTTCAGAAGCATCAATTCGGAAGTAAATGTACCACAATTCCTATAACCCATCACATTATGATCGACTAATTTTACATCAAGGAAGGCACTATTTTAGGAAAGAAATGGTCAAATCTGCTGAAAAGTCAAAGAACCTCTTTCCATATGATGGTGTGAACTAATAGGCAGTGAGCATTCCAGTCTAGAAAGAACAGTGAGCCAAAAATATCAGATGTGACTTTTGCCTTCAAAGCATTTTTAAATTATGCAATCAACAATTAACAGCATACAGTCAATGATCTGTGAATACACATCCCTATATGCCAAGCAAGTATGTCACAAACAGAACCTGAGAAATTTTGAATACACAGAAATTTCATTCAGGCAAAAAATACACTTAAATAACAGGCCAGAGCCATTTCCTTATTCACTCATTCCAATAAGCATTTATTGAGGGCCTACCACCTGTCAGAACTACTTTGCTAGATGCTAGAAACATGGTCATTAAAAAAAAAACAAAAAAAACAACTCCTGTCCTAAGGAACTCCCATTTTAGCTGGAGAGAGAAAAAAGTAGAGAGATGCTTTCAGCAGAGAAACTAGTAGCAGCCTGGAGAAGAGTTTCTCAGAGTGTGGACCATGGACCAGCAGCATCAATACTCTCTTCCTGGAAATGCAAATTGCCCTACCCCACACCTAATAACTCAGAGTGGGGGCAGCAATATGTGTTTTCACAAGCTCCCAGGTCACTCTGTTTTCAATCAAGGGTGAGACCCATTGATTGAGCTATAGCACTAGGTAAACAGGCTCTAGGGGAAACAAGGTTGAATCTAAATACAAGAGTTCTGACACTTATTATCTCTGTGACCTTGGTGAAGTTACTTCACTTCTCTGTGCTTCACTTTCCTCATGTATAGAATCGGGATAAAAATATCTCTGAGTTCTCTTGAAAAAATAAGGTTCTATGGTATTATGTTCATACTAACATAATAATGCTACCTGATGATTAGTCCAATGACGCTCAATCATTTGTTCATATTAATATTACTATTATGATTATTATGGCACAGGTAAGAACAAGAGGCTAAGTGTACACAGAAGAGCAATATCTAACCCAAGTTGGTAGAGATGCCATGGAAGGGCATACAGAGCAGAAAGAATAGTGTATTTAAAAATACCCAGAGAGAAAACAGGAAGGCAGATGTTTAGATAGTGAACATAACTGACATTCAAAGAGCTGGGTTATTAAGGGAAGGATGATAGCAAAAGAAGGATGGGAGGCTACAAGAAGTCATTTTGTAAACTGTGGGAGAAGATGCTGAGTGATAGACACAGAGGCTGAAGACACAGGAGAGAGAGGGATGGCCCATTAAGGCAGGTGTCTGAACACAGGGAAAGAGGGTCAGAGGAAGCCAGCAGAGATGTTAGCCTTACAGAGGTAGACACCAGAAGAGGAAAGGATCCCAGCAAAGTTTGTTGGTTTTGGGGAGAGGAATTAGAACTTGGAAGGGATTTCTGCTCCATGCCCTCCATTTTCTCCATTAAACAAGAGGCAAATATTGGGGTGCCTGGAACTTGGGGCAGGGGGCAATGGAAGGAGCTGACTAGAGAGCTGCTGGAGAGGGCTGGGGTTTTACTGAAGAGGATGCTGGACAAGGATCAAAAAGAAAAGCTGGAAGTGCTGCACCTGTGGTCTAGACTAAAAAGGGAAGGAGTTGAAGAAAGGAGAGCTGGCCCACTAGGCCAAATAGACTGGATCCCTTTGGCCCATTCCAGGCCTGTGACTGGGACCTGAGCATTTCTTGTCCTGGATGCTACATCCACCATATCTTGCACAACTGCTCAGAAGGCCCTGGCAGAGCACTGCCCATATAGGACAGTGGTTGGCAAACTCATTAGTCAACAGAGCTAAATAACAACAGTAAGTACAACGATTGAAATTTCTTTTGAGAGCCAATTTTTTTAAAATTAAAATTCTTCTAATGCCACTTCTTCAAAATAGACTCGTCCAGGCCGTGGTATTTTGTGGAAGAGCCACACTCAAGGGTTGCAAGCAGCAGTTTGCCGACCACTGACTTAGGTCATCATGGATACTTATGTAAGGAATGCCAGGGATAGCTCTGCTCAAAATCATAACCTATGTCCCCTATAAGCATTCCACTTCTGTTCTTAATAATAAAAATAGCACTCATGAATATTCTTTACTCTTCAAAGTATGTTAACTCGTTTTATTAAAGATACTTGTTATATTAAGAAACATTTATTTTTTATAAATGTATATTACCTCTAAGGTATATAGCTCATAAATCCTTGATAATTACATATATCTATCAATCTCTACCAACATGCTAATTTTTTACAAAATCCTCTCAAAACAATGTAAGATTTGCTCTTGTAAAATAAGTAGGTTGTCGTTTAGTTTCAATTGAAATGCATTTAGACATATTCTAAACTTCATCCAAATCAGCCCATTTCCTTAGAAAGAGCATGTTGGAAATTTTAAATATTTAATAATATAGAATCTAGATGAAAGAGACATAACTACATTTGATCAGTTAAGAGCTTTTTTGAAAAAGCTATAAAATCTACATATTGGTATTTCAAAATTTTCACCTACAGATGCTATTTGAACTAGAAATTGTTAAAAATGATAACAATGGGATGATAGTCACAAATTAATACAGTAAAATTTAAACTAATTATATACTTTATACAAGATAAAGAGAACTTCAGCTTAATACTTTAAAAAACTACATTTGACAGGCAGAACTCTTGTACCTTGCAACGATTCAGGATATCCGCAACTGATTTTCGTTGCTCTTCATAGTATGTGTTAGACTGAACACTTTGCTGCCAAGATTTTAAATGTTAAGTATTAATTATTTAATTCTGTAAGAGTCAAACTGAATATAAGGATAAAAAACACTTTATTTAATTAAATTGTTTTTACTTTTCACCAACTTTTTAGAATTTCAGAAGTCAATATAAAGCAGAATTGAAATAAAATAAAAGCATACACTAATATAATAGAAATGATTACTACTAATTAAGAGAAGGAATAAGGAAATAATTTATTATACCAGAAGGACCTACATTTAGAGTTTTTTACTGAAAATCAGTATTGCTCTCAATTTCCTACTATATAAGAAAAAGAAGAAAGTAAAATAGTTAAATTGTCTAATGACAGGAGGCCAACAAATTTAGGAGTGAGTAGTATTTTCTTAAGTGTGATTTGGAGGTTGTCTGCAGTTTGTGAAGAATTTAAATATTTGTCTTTAAAATGGTTGTATTATATTTGGCAAGTGGCAATTATTACTTACATTGCCATATCCAGGCTTTGATTGATATGCATAAAGAATGCCATTGTCATCATCATCACAAGTAGTTATTGGAGTTTTTACCTAAGGAAGATTTATTAATAATTTAAAAGTAAACGTGAAAGATGGAAATGAAAGAAAAATTGAGGGCTTCAACTTCATTTTCAAGAAACTCCCAAATCCTATCTGTGGTATTAAAGGACCTTTGACCATTGTAAGTAAACGTTATGACTACAAGAAAATGTGTACTTGCAAAACTGTTTTCTCATTAGCCAAACTACACTTAAGACATTATTTCTATCAAGCTCAGCCTCTTGTGTACCTGAAAGTAGAAAGACTAGTCTTCTAGTAATTTGGCACAAGAACTATTATAACAGCAAATATTTCTAACCACAAAGAACCAAGTTACATGGCTTTTGATTTTTAAACCATCCAACAGTGCCACTCTGTGGACAAAATAGTAAACACTTAAGTACCTATTTCTTTTTCAAAAACTTTTTATTCAATCCTTATTTTCCTGATTAAAAATGATTTGTTTTATTCGATAGCACATAAGTTAATTATTGCTAGTAAAACATCTTCAATTCTATGTATTTCTACATAATTTTTAGCAAGGGTTTTTTTTCTTTCCAGAAGCACTTTTAAATTTAATTATTTTTTCAATTACAGTTTATATTTAATATTACTTTGTATTAGTTTCAGGTATACAGTATAGTGATTAGACAATCACATACTTTACAAAGTATTCACCCTGATATTTATAGTACTCACCTGACACCATACATAGTTATTGTAATATTGACTGTACTTCCTATGACTAGTTAGTAAGTACCAATTTGTACTTCTGAATCTCTTCACCTTTTTCTTGATAAATTAATATCTAAAGCACCTTAAAATGTTTTTGGAATGTTTTAAATAAATAGATAACCATTAAATAACCATTAAATTTCATTTAATAACTTAATTCTAAGAATGAACTATAGGAATAATTTTAAAATAAGCATACTTTAAAGCTATGCATGTCTGTTTCAAAAGATATAACCAAAATAATATGGAATTACTATAGATTAGTACTTATAAAAATATAGCATCTTACCCTTGTATTGTGCCTTATGCTTTTCCAAGTGCTTTCACATAATTATGTCAGAAAAAATGGAATCTTTGTAGGCAATTAACATTATCTCCAAAGATAAAAAGTGTTAAGACTGATATAAGTTAAAAAATTGCCTCTCCCACTTAGGTGGCAGTAATAGCTATTACACCCTTATGTAATTAATGTGTTTTCTATTAAGCCAAATTGTATATAGCTTAAAAATATTTTTATTCAACTTCCGGGATCAAGAAACATACAATGTGACAGGATGTACAAGACCACAAATATTCTAAAAAACCATTTGGCAGATTCTCATCAAGTTATAATTACATTAACCGTATGACCAAGCTATTCAATTCCTGAGCATTTACCCAAAAGAAATGTTAGTATCTGTTACAAAAAAACTTGTACATGAATGTTCACAGCAGCTTTTAGATCACTGTCAAGAACTAAACACTTATGATCTCTGCTTTAAATTAAATTCAATTTAGAAAAGAATAGAACACAATGAAAAGAACAATGACACATTTTTTTTTAAAAAAATTGAAATACAAACCACATCAACTTCACTGGAGCAGCTAGACATCGTTGTGCAATAGGAGCAGCTTCACTTCTCTGGAGCCCAATTATTTTCAAACTTGCTAGAGGGTTTAGTTGTGAAACTGCTTGGTCACCTAGGATTGAAAAGCCTTCTACTCCTGAAAAACAATGCATGGAAATGTTACTTTACATACTACGTTAATAAACTAGTACAGATGTGTTCTCACAAGCCAACTCAAATTGGAGTCCTGGTTGATTTTTAGGGTTTTCTTGTTCATGATTTAGAATAAACCTTTAAAGTTTGAAGGACTATATTGCCCATGCATAGGAATAAGAACAAGATCAAACACAATTCCAAATTGTGAAGTGAATGCTTCATAATTTAAAGGTTACAGAATAAATGCTGGAAATAAGGCAACATGATTCCTAAGATACCTTACTGCTTTTGTAAAGGAACTCCAGCAGGCTCAAATGTTTCTCAAGAGTCTGTTCCAGCGTGGGTCTCCACCACGGTGTGGGCTGGGCAGACCACCTGAGATACCACCTCCTCATCTGACAGGTGAAAACTGGCTGAGATTATCTCTAAGGTCACTTCAGCTCTAAGATTATGATTCCTTCCATAGTTAAATTTCATATTAAACCTAAATAAGTGTATATAAAACATCAGCTAAAGATCTTTCAGAATTACGTAGGCTTTGTTATGGTTCTGAGTCATTTAATTCTGCAAATAGGAAAAAGCATGGAGTGCAATGCAATCATATTATATCTTGTAATAAGGATGTGAACCCTGGCTGGCATCCTGGCACTAGAAGGGGGACATACATGAGAGCACTAATTCTATTTATCCACCCAGAGCCAGACCAGAGAATGAAGAAGAATTAAGTCTCAAGTTAGATAAATGTAGGCTAATACTGTGGGAAATGTGCAGTTATAAAATATATCCAATTTCAGCTGTAACTTCAACCAAATTTTATTATTTTATACTATGTGTAATTTTCCTGATAAGAGTAATAACAAGCTATGAACAACTAAACTGTGATGTTTTGGACAAAGAAAAATTACATAGCAACGAAAAGAAATTAACTATTGCTATGCACAAGGACAAATCTCACAACCATAGCATTGAGTAAAGGCCAGAAAATAGTACCAACTTCATTGAGTTATGATTAAATGCTTGGAACAATTACCAGCATAGCAAAGGCACCCGCTGTTGGTTACTATTATTTTATTATTTGGGTATTCATAGCATTCTCCCAACTATTCATCATAAAGCACATGTGCAACATGCAACATATCCTCGGGGTCATAACATATAAATCTGATTTACTTTACATCTGGACACTGCAGATATAGCAACCATTTCTTGTAAACAAATTTGAAGTACCAGAGCACATGAAAAATAACTGGGCTTTAAGAAATACTGAAACCCAAGGCCAAATTGCAAATTTTGCTATTTTGCTTTTGGCAGGTATTTAGTCTCTGTGTCTTGGTTTCATAACCTGTAAAGTTGGAATGACATCTACTCCACAGGACTGTGAAGACCAAATGACACAGTTAAGCAATCAGCATCATTGTCTGGTCCATAGCAGGCACAGCATAAACTTTGTTTTCCTTTCACTTCTTCCCACAAGATAAACTTTGCACAAGATTTTCTTAGAGCTCAACCATGATTAGATTTTTCAAAAATCAGTTAATATAACCCGCTAAATTCAAAATCCTGCAAAATCAGTTTACTTAAAAAATGAAGCTCATCCATATTTTACAATAGAAAAAAAAAATCTAAATTCTTGACAACATAAGACCAAAAGCCACTCAGTTTTTTATGACTTTTTTAGACGTTAGAGACTTTCAAAGGCATTTTTAAAAAATCATTTGAAGATTCTGCTCCCAAGGGACAAGGCATTCATTCACTTGCTTTCAACTTTTCACAATGGTGAGGGATGAACGTGGCCTTTCACTGGAAATCAAAAAGGAATACATAGCAGAACAGGGAAGTTTATAACAGCCAGGCCACTCCAACAACTTTTTAAAACAAAACTATATCACCCTGGCAGCATTGCTCAGTGGTTAAAGGTCGACCTGAGTAACAGAGAGTCCCGGTTTTGATTCCCAGTCAAGGGCATGTACTACCCCAGCTGGGATGGGGTAAGTGCATGAGGCAACCAGCGGATGTGTCTCTCTCACATGAATGTTTCTCTCTTTCTAAAAAAAAAAAAAAAAAAAAAAAAAAAAAAAAAAAAAAAAAAAAAAAAAAAAAAATCCTCGGGCGAGGATTTAAAACACACACACAAATTGTGTCAATACACTGACTGAACAATCACGACTTATAAATATTAAACCAGTTTAAAACTCTAGTCTGAATTCCAGGAGAGCCAGGTAGGGAAGGAGGAAAACGATCCCCAACAAACGAAGTACTCAAAAGAGCTTTCTTTCTCATTTATGTATTTACAATAAAAGAGCGAGGCTGCACTATCAAACACAGCTACCATTAAAGCCTCAAAAACAATGTCTTGATATGCCAAGGAAGACAAAGAATGAAAAAACAAAAAAAGATAAACTCGCTCTCAAAGGTCAGCATCAACTATTCTAAAAGTGGCCAAATCACAAAAGCTAACATGCTCCGGCATTCCGGGAAGGCAATGGGAACCAGTGGGAAGCAGTCCAAATTAATCAGACACACTCCACCTTAGCACTGCTGAAATTAAAGTGCATACGTGTTCTTCCAGAAAAGCAAATTCTTCCTCTTCCCTCAAACAAATCTTCCCACTTCACACCTGACCCCTCTCTGGAGTTCCTCGGGCATTAAAATCAATCAACTGCTTTCTAGCCCACACCCAAGACAAGAAAATTCAAATGGATAAACCTTTCCTGGTGACACCAACCTCCGGAAGACACAGGAACCGACCAGCTGTGGCTGTCCCTCGTGGCTAAATGACGAAGACCGTTACGAGCCACTCGAAGTCTATTGGAAAATGCAGGACCACGTGACATCCACCAACGGTCAAGGCAAAAGCCAGGCATTGGAGAGCAGGACATTGCTAGAGAGACCTCCCTGGAAATGGCCTTTACTGCCCACTGCGCAGTGGCTGATGGGATTGAAATTCTGCACTGACCACAGGTGTGAACCTCCATCAGAAGTTTCTGGAGCTGTGCAGGGGCTGCTCGCGCGCAGCGCATGCGCACGGGATGGTTTTGGGGGCAGCTCTCGGGAAAGTGGCACTTAGATTCCTCCCCACTGTTACTGATTGGTTCTTTAATGCTTCTTTGAAACGTTAATTCCTCTCCGACCCCTCTCTGTAAGAGGTCCATGTTGATTGGATCCTGAGTGTGCTCATTAGTATTGAAATTACATGACATTTAGTGGCATATTATCTTATATATATCAAAGCTGCCCATCTTGGTAAGGAGGAACAGTGTGGAACAGTCTGAGTACTTATCAGAAGTAAAGCCAGAAATTTTTTCCTAACCCAGAGAGGGGCTGCAGAAAAGTAATCCAACATTGGAAATGTATTATTTCTCCTCTCAAATACAAAGCAAGATTAGAGCCCATTGTAGAGACAGTATTTATTATTATTATTATTATTATTATTATTATTATTATTTTGCTCATATTTTTTGCCATAGTAGTCTTCCCCTTTATGTCCAGTTCTCTGTAAAATGGTTTTTGTGAAACCCCAAGAACGCAATTATGTAACAACTACAAAGCCAATGCTCGAAATCTCGCAGCTCCGCCCACCTGCACGCATCTAGCAGCTCTCATAGCCTTGCCCAATGGCACTGGTCTTTGGTCGTTAAGGCATTAGAGCCACAGGCCTTTTATAATATAGATGAAGAGAAAAACAGGTTTAATTGCAGTCACGTTTATTTGCAGTTTCAATACACACTTTCTAGGTAATCAAACTTTCCTGGTACATTTTCTTAAAGGGGTTCACAATGAAACTGTCACCATTTTTACTAAAAATAAATACAAGACTTAAAGTGTTGCACAGCTCTAAAATATACAAAGGCTTGAATTGAATGTAAACGTTGAAAACATCTTACAAAAGAAACAATTTTTGCAACAATTTAAAAAGTTCATATTTACAAATATTACAAAAATACAAAATGGATGCAAGTCCATAAACCATTGTCTTTTCGGCCAGCATGAATTGGTTCTAGTGCCAAAATAGTGACGCATCAGAGTTTTCAATCTTTATCACCATCTAGTCTTCTAAATCAGCATCACTGCAGCAATTGTACTCACTCACTGACCTTTGGCAAGAGCAAACAGTGTGTTTTGTTTGCTGTAACTAATCCATGTCCTCTACTTAGCCAAAACATAAAAAAAAAATCAAAAAGTTAAGGAAAAAATTTCACCCACACAACATAGACATGTTGTATAAACATAAAAGCACAAAAAATTAGCATCAGTGCAAACAACAGAAGAAAAGTGGGACTGATATTTTTTGAAATACCTAATGTGTGTAGCCTGCTTCAAGATGGCAGTGATGTTGAAGACAGCCTCTAAATTTTGGTCTTATATACTACATAATAAAGCCATGTAGAATATTCCAGATTCCTAAGGAATTCCTTGCTTCCCCCCCCCCCTAATTTTGTTACTCAATAGTATTTTCCACAGTAAATTTAAAATCCATCTTTATCTGGGTTTCTTTAAATCTATGAATTATAAAATAGAGAAACTCTACTATAGATTTTTAGAGTAAACAAAATAAGTAAAACTATATTATAAGGGTTAGTTCTATGATCGTTACATACAGAAGGTATCTTATTGCCTCACAATTCAAGTCAATATGTATTTTAAGATATACATGGTACCATTACTTAAATTAATGCCAATAATAAAAAGGTGACATTTATTAAAGCCAATTTATGTTTTGTACTCAAGATTTAGAACCACTTTTAAAGCCCACATACCTTTCTTTACACTTAAAACCCCCCTAACTACACAAAGCCATACTGCAAACGAACTGCTTTTATGAAAATTACAAAAGATAGCCTATTGTGACTGGAAATGACTGTTTCTTACCACATTTGTCTAAAAACTTTATTTTTTTTAAATTTTGCCAAGTGTACTTTTCAAAGCATGAGAAAAAGATGTTCATGTTCCCATGTGGTGTCAAACCATGTTGGTTTTCTTAAGTCATGGGTTCCAATGAGAAATGATGGTACATATCTTTTCAAACCGCAAACATATTTCTTTTAATAAAAAGTATAACATTTCATAAATGTTCAAATGTACCCTTTACCAGGTAGCTTATCTATCCCAGCCCAAGAGCGTGCGTGTGCACGCACGTGCACATGCACACACACAAACACACACATTCTCCCTCCTCTACCCCACCAACCCCAGTACCCATTTTACATACAAGGATGACAAAAAATTAAGGAACACAATTTGATAGGTGAAAACAAAGAGTAGAAGCCAGACTTGTTCTTTTTTCCCCAGACAAACAAAAACCCAACAGCAATCAGATTCTCAAATTCTCAATCTATAACATCTTAGAAAGTATTTATTTTTAAATACAGCATCTTCTTAGACCAGGTTTCTCCCTTCATATTGCATGAATGAAATCAAAACCACACCCTCTTTTTCACACATCCTACTTTCCCAAATACTACTTGCATAAGCTTAAAGCCAGCCGCATATCAATTTCTTGGTAACTCTGATGTGTTCTATCATTCTAATTGCATTTTATTCTTTTATAGGCCATATCCCTCCTTAGTTCTCTCCACTTGCTTGCTACCTTTTCGCATTCAAAACATTTGCTAAATACATAACTACTTATATTTCTGACATTTCACACATTAACATCAGTTCTTGTTAAAATCAGAGGTGTAAAAACTATTTGCAGATTTCAACTTGTAACTACATTTTTTTTCAATTTTAAGACAAGAAAATTCAAGTAATTTCAAGTAATTCAGCTTGTTTCCCTGCCTTCATTTTATCAGAGCACTTGCTCTGACATTTCCTTTCCCACCCACCACCCCTCCCCCTTTGCCATCAAGCAGATATAGTAAAATCAGACAAAAACTCAGGTGTATGTAGCATTGTGAACCAGAGCTGTTCCCCATTCCCAGCTTAACAGTGAATATAAATAATGCATATACACATATCTATTTCCCAACTACATTGTTCACAGTGTCATTTCTGTTAATTTTTAGGTAGCACAAATCTCATCAGCACAGAGAGAAGCTTCACTGAAAACTCATTGCAGGTATTTCTGATAAATCAACAACTCTGTAGCATGCTCATGTTTTATTTTTGTTAAAGAACCTGGAGCTGATTTCTAGACTGTTTAAGGAGTTTTAAAATTATAGTCATTAGATTATGACTTTTTATGTCTCCGGGAGCCTAATATAAAACATAACCTAAAATTAACTAGTTTTCCCTGCTCATTCTCTTTAAAGCAATCCATTGAAACATTAAATTTTAAAGGACACTGTCAAATGCTGTTGTTCAGGGCTTTGTATTGAGAATGATGATTTCTCTCATTGATTAAAAAAAATCAAAAGCATGCTTTTCATTCTATCCAAATTACCATATGGCAAATCATAGCCATGTGATTATTACTATTAGCTTGCTTGGTGCTGCAATTTGTCACAAAAATAATTAGGTCTGAATTCCTTATTTTAAATTAATCACATTTCAATATATGACCTCAAGATTTCCTTTATTTCACCAGTTTAAGATTAATATATGAGGTTTATCACTCAGAAATCATATTGGTGGACATTTAAATATGGTAATTAATATGAAAATGGTATTCACAGAATACAGTTATTACACTTTATCTGTTGTGTTCTATAAACAGTTGGTGTGCAGTAGGTAATTGGCCACATGTCCACTCGTCATTGATAAATCTATTTACACATTTTTATCAAAAATATGGTATTTACATGTGTGTAGTTCTTTCTTCTAAATTTTACTTTAGTTCATTTTAATGTAAAAAAATACCAAACCTCCAGAGTAATTTCATCCTCTTAAGAATTATGACAGTGAGGGTTTTCTTTTCTGAATAGGCAGCTCTGGAAAAAATTTTTTCTAGGTTTCATGAAAAGCAGACATTTTAAAATTCTATGTTATCCAAAGGAATGGAATTGGGTAAATCAAACTAAGCTAAAGAAAAATATGAAAGACAGTGCAGCTACTTAAAACATAGAAAATAATCAAGAAAGACCAAACCACCTTCTGTTTCCCCAGCAAATATTTAGGAATTCATAAGTGATGGTGCCCCATGACATGTTGACTTCTCCCTAGCCTTCTGTTTTGTTCCCCCAGTCTCACAGACTAAGTGTTTTGGCCTTTGATAGCTAGCCTGACACAGGCCACCTATGTTGAGCTCTGGGAGGATCGGTCGTCATGCGGGCTCCCATCGGAATTTTCTGTCTCCCCCTCAGAGATGGCTTGCATGGGCGCATTGTACAGCCTGCAGCGGACACTGTAGCGGCTGCTGCTGGCCACAGGAGGGACCCGAGAACGTCCAACCCTTGATGATGCTGAGGTGGGAAAGTTCTTCGAGGCAACAAACCCTTCTGCATTAACTCGTGGGGAGACTGGAGAGAGTGGGGACAATGCCTCGGCCCCAAGTGCCCCCTGATGGGCCTCATGGGAGCTTTGGGGAGATTCAGCTGTGAGCTCCCCAGGAGGTTTCGGCAGGATGGGACTCTTCAGAATTTCAGTAGCAGACATGCGATAACTGGAATCCGAACGACTGCCTTTCTTGAGGAGTAACAGCTTAAACTCTTCATTGGACGTGTTGGACTTTTTAGCATTTCGGTAGATAAGGCCAGGAGACCTCTGGCTGTTGGGGGTGGTCACATTGCTGTTGGGTGAAGTGACGGAACCAGTGCTGCCACTGCTACTGCTGCCAAGGGAAGCTCTTGATTTGCTTCGAACAGACATGTCCCCAGAATCTTTTCTTCCAAGTACTTTCCTTTTAGACCTTTTAAGAAAAGGAAGAAAGAAAAAAAAAAAAGAAGAAAGAAAAGGAGGAATCTCAGTCCAGTTACATTTTTATGAAATGGAAAATGTTAAGTCACATTCACACATCTCCTTAAAGAGCATTTTGGTGCATCCTATTTGACCAGACACTACTTATCATAACTGTGGAGATGAGGCGTAGAATACAGTCCTTACCCTTGTAGCACTTTCAGCTGGAGGGAAATTTTCTGATAACCATTGGACACAAATTAGATTTTGGAAATGACCTTTTCAAATAATGACTAATGTGGAGGCTAGAGGTTCCAGAGGAGGACTTATTGGGATGTTGTTTTAGTATAAGAAAATACTGCTGTCTTACTCCTGGTCAGAATGTAGACAGTGAAGAGGTGCAGCTTTCTTTTATTAAATCTCTCTCTCCAATATGGATAAAATGCTTTGATGTTTGATATTCCAATAAATACTAGAAGAGCAATGTAGGTGGAACTGTGGATGAGACAGGATTAGCTATAGGTTGCTGGTTTACAGACTTGGGTGATGGATATATGTGTCTGTGTGTGGGGGGGATGTCTTGTGTGAATTATACTATTTGATCTGCTTTTTAAATTAAAAAATTCTTCTATGACTTTTTAAATAAGTTAATCCATTTTGGGCTGCAAATAACATTATCCATAGCTGCTTGGGAACATCAACAATGTAAACCAATTTTCTATGAGTAGTTGAAAACCTAGACCACATTTGGATCTCTTAAAGCTTTGTACACTGTAAGTTATCAAGAAAACAAAACCATTCTTAAGAAGATACAAATAAATGGGTGCATATTCTGTGCTAACAGATAGGAAGAATTAACTTATTTAAAATGTCCTCACCCAGCCAGCATGCTTCCGTGGTTGAGTGTCAACCTATGTGGGTGTCATGGTTCCATTCCCAGTCAGGAGACATGCCCAGATTGCAGTTTCAATCCCCATGTGGGGAGTGCAGGAGGCAGCCAATAAATGATTTTCTCTCATCATTGATGTTTCTCTCTTTCCCTCTCCTGTCCTCTCTGAAATCAATAAAAATATATTTTTTAAATGTCCTTACTCTGGCTAGTGTTTCTAAGTGGTTAGAGCATTGGCCCCATGCACAGAAGGATTGCCAGTTTGATTTCACGTTAAGGGCAAGTACGTGGGTTGCAGGTTCCATCACCAGCCCAGGTCAACGGGAAAAATATCCTCAGGTGAGGATTAACAATAGCAAATGTTGTCCATACTACTCAAAGCAATCTATAGGACAAATGCAATCCCTATCAAAATACCAGTGGCATTTTTCACAGAACTATAACAAATAATCCAAAATTTTATATGGAGTCACAAAATTTTATACGGAGTCCAAGTAGAAACAGCAATCATGAAAAATAAAAACTAAATTGGAGGTATCATACTGTCTAATAGCAAGCTATTCTACAACTCTATTGTAATCAAAACAGCATGGTACTGGCATAAACAGAAACATAGAATAATGGAACATAATAGAAAGCCCAGAGAGCCCAGAAACAAACCCACACCTAAATGGTCAATTGATGTATGACAGAAGAGACAAGACCAAACAATGGGGTAAAGGCAGTCTTTTCAATAAATGGTGTTGGGAAAACTGAACAGATACATGCAAAAAAAAAAAATGAAACTAGACTACCTTCTTACACCATCCTATCTAATAAAAGAGTAATATGCAAATTAAGCATCACTCCACCACACCAAGAGCATTCCCACAAGCCACGCCCACAAGCCAATCAGAGCGAATGTGCAAATTAACCCAACCGTGATGGCTACTGCCATGGAGAAAGCAGGAGGGAGGCTTGGGTTTCCCAGGCAATGGAGAAAGCCAAGCTTTCCGTCTGCCATGGCTGGCCCAGGCCTCTACTTAAGGCTACTAAGTTTCAATTATAGAAGATACATAAATCCCCTGTTGCCATGGAGCAAGCAGAAGGCTTGGTTCTGCTCCAGGCTACAAAGTTTCAATTGTAGAAGGTAAATAAATTCCAGATACCAGGGCCTCCACTTGGGTTGCCAAGTGGTATTGCCAGCCTTCAAATGACCACAGGCCCCTTGCCCAGGCTGCCCCATGCCCCAAAGAAACTTCCACCCTGATTCGGGACACCCTTCAGGGCAAACCAGCTGGCCCCCAGCCATGCATCAGGCCTCTAATATCCTATCTAATAGAGTAATATGCAGATTGACTATCACTCCAACACACAAGATGGCTGCCCCCATGTGGTCAATGATCCTGCCCCCATGTGGACACAAGATGGTCACCACAAGATGGCCAGGGAAGGGCAATTGGGGAGACCTTGACTGCAAGGGAAGGCAGTTGGGGGTAATTAAGCCTGCAGAAGAGGGCAGTTAGTGGTGACCAGGCCAGCAGAGGAGGGAAGTTGGGGGCAAACAGGCTGGCAGGGGAGTGGTTAGGGGGTGATCAGGCTGGTAGGCAGAAGCAGTTAGGGGAAATCAGGAAGGCAGGCAGACAAGCAGTTGGGAGCCAGCAGTCCTGGATTGTGAGAGGGATGTCCAACTGCCTGTTCAGGCCGGATCCCCAGTAGGATTGGGCCTAAACAGGCAGTCAGACATCCCTTGAGGGGTCCCAGAATGGAGACGGTGCAGGCACAAATTTTGTGCACTGGGCTTCTAGTATACAATAATAAACTCAAACTGGATTAAAGACTTAAAATATGAGATCCCCAAACCATTTAAACTCCTAAAAGAAAACATAAACAGCAAACTCCCTGACATTGCTCTTCAAAGGAAACCATCAACAAAACAGACACCCTACAAAATGGGAGAAGATATTCACCAATGATATAAGGAGTTAATATGCAAAATTTACAAAGAACTCATACAACTTAATACCAAAACAATAAATATCCCAATTTAAAAAAATGGGCAGAGGACTTGAATATATATTCATCTAAGGAAGACATAAAGATGGCCAATAGACTTATGAAAAGATGCTCAACATCATTAATCATCAGAGAAATGCAAATTAAAACCACAATGAGATATTGCCTAATGCCTGTCAGAATGACAACCATCAATAAATCAATCAACAAGTGTTGGTTAGTCCATGCATTGCAAATTGGAATTGTGGGGTTCATGCAGCCACTATGGAAAACAGTGTGGAGGTTCCCCAGAGAATTGAAAATAGAACTACCTTATGACCCAGCAATTTCACTTCTGGGTATTTAACTGAAGAAATACAAAGCACGGATTTCAAAAGATATACACATCCCTATGATCATTGCATTGTTATTTACAATAGCCAAGATATGGAAGTAACTCAAATGCCCATCAATAGACAAGTGTATAAAAAAAAGCTGTTGTACACATATGCAATAGAAAAGTACTTAGCCATAAAAAAGAATGAAACATTATCATTTGTGATAACATGGATGGACCTTTAGGATATTATTCTAAGAGATATTAGTCAGACACAGAAAGACAAATGCCATATGAATTCCCTTATTTGTGGAATCTAAAGAACAAAATAAATGAACAAACAAAACAGAAACAGACGCAGATACAGAAAGCAAACTGAACATTTCCAGATGTAATGATCTAGGGAGGTGAGTGAAAGTACAGACACACAATTAGAAATAGTAATGGGAATGTAAATTACAAATTAGGGAATATAGTCAATAATACTGTAATAACTCTGTATGGTGCTAGGTGGGTGCTAGACTTATCAGAAGATCACTTCATAAATTACATAAATGTCTAACCACTATGCTGCACTTCTGAAACTAATATAATATTGAATGTTAACTGTAATTAAAAAAAAATAGCCTGACCATTGTGGCTCTGTGGTTGATTGTCAACCCATGAACCGGGAGGTCAAGATTTGATTCCCGGTCAGGGCACATGCCTGGGTTGCGGGCTTGATCCCCAGTGAGGTGTGTGCAGGAGACAGCCAATCAATGATTCTCTTTCATCATTGATGCTTATATATCTCTCTCCCTTTCCCTTCTTCTATGAAATAAATAGAAATATATTTTAAAAGAAAAAAATATAAAATACAGAAGTTAGAATATAATATGTGTTTATTACACATGGGAAAAATATAAAGGAATATACTCCAAATTTAATGGCAGTTATCTTAAAATGACTGGATTTCTATTTTCTGGGTTAAATATTTCAAGTTTGAATTGTGTTGCATTTGCAAGAAGAACAAGGAAATATAAAAAAAAATACTTTCCCTTAAAAAAAAAAAACCCACAAAATTGTTCTTGTCACTGTGTTGCACATACATGCATACATTCAGACATACTAAACACATGCAAATATAGATTTAAAAACTTAGTAAGTCTACCAAACTTAGGTACCCATCGTCATATTATTTATCTTGATAAGTAAACCAGTGTACATTCAATGAATCTTCAGCATGACTCAGCTCACTGATAAGTATTCTAAAAATCCATAGGATAGAGAAAATGTCAGCTTTGCAATTAGAAACCAGCCTTATTTGGGTTCACTGAAACCTTTGTGGTTGTAATCTTGTGTATGCCAGTGTCCAGTTATGAAAGGAGTAGACACACTATGATTGGGTAGCTTAGTCTGATATCGGTTCAGTTTCCAAGGGTTAGCTCCTGTTCTGTTCTTCAGTCACAGGTTGTAAGTATTCTTGCCTATGGGCACTGACTACAAGGATGCAGGGGAAGGATGAGAGAATGTGAAAGGGCACCATGGACACAACACTGTCCTAAAAAGCAGCTTAGAGGACACCCCCTGTTCACAGGATATGGGCCATTCATTTTAGAGAAGGCCAATGTTATTAAAGAAATTTAAGTTTTAGGAATAGAGGGAAAAGGGGGGCAGTGGTTAGTTGTTCTGAGCTATATGGGTAAGTTTTAATACACTGTCGTCTCAAATTTGGGGCTCTGTTTAGTGAATAAACTTACATTTATTTGTTTATACAGGATTACAGCTTTGAACATTTTTTTTTATAAAAGATATTACTTAAAACCAGAGATTGCACTAGAGTTTGAGCTTTCACTCTTAAGTTACTTAACCACAAATAGTTTTCAAATAAAAACTTGTTCCAAAATGTCTTTCCAAGGGAAAAAAAAAAACAAAAACAAAAAAACCTTTCCTCAGCAGTTCTTATTGAAGTCTCTCAATTGAGGTCAGTCTAACTATATATGAAGACTCATATTTCCCAACTTAAATACAAGTCTATCAATTTGATTTGGGAACATATTTTTTTGCTGCATTTTGTGGGGGAGGGAGGGGTTGTTGTTAAATGTACTACAACTATACAACGCTTCCCCGTTATTTGCATTTGATGAGAAGCACCATAAGAAGTGAAACCTTTCATATTGTTGTCTCACCTGTGAATGACTGCAAACAAATCCTCAGTTGTTCGAGGTTTGTTTGGAGATACAAACACACCTTCCCCTTCAGTCTGAGAGTCTTCACTAAGTGGTGAAATCATGGAGTCATCATTTGGTGACAATTCTTAAATGAAGAACAAAAGCATTTTAGGAGGAAGTTACTGCATACTGCTGTGCTTCACTGACTCAGGAACAAATAACCTTACTGACATTTAAGAAATGAGAGCTATATCTGTCACTCCTTAATCCATCAATAGTAAAAGCTTTTATCTCAATTGTCTTAATTAGGGAAAATAAATAATGAAGGAATCCCAACACACAGGTCTGAAACACATTATGGGGAATATAAGATAGAAAAAATTCAGGAAGTACCATGAGACCCCTTTTCATAGGGACAAACTGACCTTTCAATGAAACCTCATCCATACTTCCTTGGGTCTCCTCTGCTCCGCTGTTATCAGAGGCACTTTTGGCTGAAATACCTGAAGCAATATTTTCCTGCTCTGAACATTTTTCAGGGCATGAATTTACAGTTGATAGCTCTGCTTCATAGCTCATATTCCCAGGCACTTTGTCATAGTAGCGGCTCATCCCAAGTTGATGCTTAAGTTGATTGCTTATGTCTGTGGCTCTAGTTGTTGAATTTGATTGAGATGCGAGCTCATCCACAGACTCAGGATGTACAACGTCCTCCTGCTCTACAGAGGATGCCTTCAGGACCTGTGCAAGGATCCCATCTGGACCAGCTCCATATTGTAGCATTTTACCATCCAAGTTATTTGAGCAGGCAGCAGAGACCCTTTGGAATCCTTCTTTGGGAAAGTCACAGTTTTTACTTGGTGCGTTTTCTGGAATAGGCTCACTCTCCATATGCATTTGGTCTTTTGTGGCACTTGAATCTACAAGATTGCTACCAGCTGAGGTTACTTTTTCTGGATCACAATGATTCTTTCCATCAAAAGCACGTTTTTTTCCTAACTGTAGTTTATCTGATCCCATCTCAACTGCAGAGGAGTCTAAAAAGGACAATATGGGTTCTTCAGTGGAGTACTGACGTGATATTGATTTCTTAGCTATATGTGGTCTAATCTTACCTGGAGATGGGGCAGCAATTGTGAGAGTGCTTTGCTCTAAGTAGGGGTGTTCCATATTATTGCCTTCTTTTTGCTTAATTTCTTCAGACTTACTGATGGACCTAAGGTTAACAGATCTTAGGACTGTTGGTGTAATTGCAAGGGATGGTGGAGGATTCGACCTCAGTGTTTCCTCTACTGTGTTCTGCTTATTATGACTAAAAACATGCAATGGGTTACGATGGTGAAATGGTTTATTAAAGACATGAAGAGCACTTAGGTCAAGATGGGTAGGAGGTATAATTGGAAGTTCAAGGTCTTTACTTAGTGATAGAGCTCCATCTTTCAAAGAAGGTTGCTGTAGTGAGGATTTCCTTTCTGGGACTTTCGGTTTTCTTTTGCTACCTCCAGGAGACAATGGACCAGAAAAGAAAGCTGTAGGGAAAGAGGATGTTGGTGTTTCAGACTGGCTTGAATAGCCACTTGAAGGAGATGCCAAGCCAGCCAGCTTTTCTGGTGAAGCCAGTTTAAACTCATTGTCAACAGAAGGAAGGGATGGAGTGGTGGCTCTTGATTCTGACTGGGATGTTTGGGATTCAGAGCTCTCTGGAGATTTAATGCATTCAATAACTGTGGTACCCGTAGCAGTGCTTGAATTAGATAAAGATCTGTAGGGATCATTTGTTTTCAAGTCATTTAGAAGCCAGAGGTCTGCATAGTGAGTTGATTCAGCACCTTCATCTTTGAATGGTGGAATATCTGAAGTTTCTAACTGAGGTTCTTTACTATCATGTTCATCCTGGTTAATCCAGGAAGGTTCCTGCTTGGTGGGAATATTGGTATTTTCCATTTGAGAAGGCGTGTTGGAGAAATCAAGAGGCAACTTCATATCCCTGGAACTGTGAGGCAGGACCTGGCCACTGCTAATCTTTGGTTCTTTCTTCTCAGAAATGTCTGCATTTCCATCAGATTTCCTCAATGATGAACTCCTTTTAGGTGGGGTTGGCTTTGCCTTTGGTTTCCTGAAAGAGATGCTTGGTCTCCCCTGCCTCCTGTGATCTAAGTAGTCCTGCCAAGCACAGTCTGGAAGAGTAGGAGGACCTCCAATGGCCTGGCCATTCTCTGGGCTCAGGGCTGCATAGTGGCAGACATAATTCTTACTACCTTTCAGACCACAGTCAAAGTGCATGGAGGTGTAGTATCCTTCTGTGTCCACTGAAAAGTGAGAGCTAGTGTCAGCTTTGTCTGATGGAGACTTTTCCAGAAAGCTGTCATACGTGGCCATGCTTGTGAAGCTTGGACAGCCCAAGCTGTCTGCCTTGGGGCGCTCAGGACTAAAATCATGGTGGCAGGAGGCATCATGATGGTGGTGCAGGTAATTCCACTCACTATCACTTGTGTTGCTATTATTGGGGTCATCCAGGAGATCTGCCACAGTGGACGTAAAGGAGTTTGCCCGATGGCCTCTCACTTTATCCAAGTGGTCATTGTACTGCTCTGTCACGAAGACACTGGCATCCTCATTAGCATGAGGAGCTGTGTTTAGTGACAACTCTGAATCACAGTGTGAAGAGCCAGTGAGAGGAGGAGAAGCTGCAGGAGGGATTGTCTCTGAGGTCTGTGAGGGGCATGTAGAGCTGCTCCCACTCCAGTTGCCACTGGATGACTGGTGGTCGTCTTTCTGGTCCATGTGGCTGCTGAGGAGGACACCAGCCGTGGAAATGCAGTGTATGGGGCTCCCAAAGGTGTCTGAGTTGGAAGAGATGTCACAACTTCCAGAGTCAGCAGCCATTCGGGACAGACGTGACCTCCCTCTCTCACTCAACTTGTGCTGGGGGCTGTGAAGATGTTGAGAACAGGCCAGATCCAAAGCAGGCTGGTGTTCCTGGGCACTTGGGCTACTGGGGGCCTCACTGCAATCATTAGGGATTCTTTCTTGGTCACCCACGAAAGGCTCTCCCTCTTCATATGCTGAGGATTTAAGACCAACTTTGGGATCACCATCTCCGCCTCTATTGCCCTCTCGGGGAAGGCTCCGAGATCTTGTGCGGCTACTCACTGCAGTTGTAAACATGGCATCACCTTTGTCTGCCAAGGCAGAAATGTTGCCAGCTGAATGTGAAAGAGAAGCTGCAATACTTTGACCCCTTTGAGCTCTGATTCTCCTTCTGGATGGAGCAGCAATCAAAATGTCCTCAGTTTGGCACTCGGAGTCCCTGGTTCCAGACCTCCTATTGACAGCGTTGGAAGGATCTGGATTTGTGTGCACAATCACATTCCTTTCTCTGGCCACAGGCGATTCATCCGAATCTATGGAAAGATTCATGGCACATGGAAAGCTAGTGAGATATTTTATACAACTGCATACTAAAAGACATTTTGAGAGACACCCACAAATGTGGGTGTTGGCATGTGCATGTTGGAGCTTTGTCCTTCAGGAAAAAAAAATCAGCATAAAAAATTAGGAGGTCTGGCCATTATGGAACAGTTGGTTGGAGCATCATCCCATGAACTGAAAGGTTGCTGGTTCAATTGCCACTCAGGGCACTTACTTAAATTGTGGGTTCAATTCCCAGTGAGGGGGAGTATGGTAGGCAACAACCACTGATATTTCTCTCATACATGAATTGTTTTTTTCTTTCTCCCTCCCCCTCTCTCTAAAATCAGTAAAACATATCCTTGGGTGAGGATTAAAATAAAAATAGGAAGTTAAAATGCTTTGGGGACTCTCCTTCTGTCTCTGCCAAAGGAAGGATCTATATCTTTAAATATAGATGTAGATGATTAAATATATATAGATGATATAGATATAGATATACATATACATATAGACATACTATATAATATATATAGTATATATTTTTCTAAGATAAGATATACTTTTAGATCTTTTGTTAATTCTCTTTCTTCAATATCAAATTACTTTGTCCCAATAAGTGACTATTGTTTTTTTCAAACTAAAGTCCATTTTATCTTCTTGGGCACTATTCATTTTTTTATTTTGTAATATAAACATAATGAAATAAAAATAATATAATTCACTATAACCGAAACCGGTTTGGCTCAGTGGTAGAGTGTCGGTCTGCGGACTGAAAGATCCCAGGTTTGATTCCAGTCAGGGGCATGTACATTGGTTGCGGGCACATCCCCGGTGGGGGATGTGCAGGAGGCAGCTGGTCGATGTTTCTCTCTCATCGACATTTCTAGCTCTCTATCTCTCTCCCTTCCTCTCTGTAAAAAATCAATAAAATATATATATATATATATATATTTTATAAAAAGAAGTGCTTCAAAAGAATTCACCATAAGAAATAAGTCTTATTTACAAGAGATGATATAATAAGCCTCTATAATAAAAGCCTAATATGCTAAGTGTCCAACCATTTGTTCGACCAGTCGCTATGATATGTACTGACCACCAGGAGGCATGCTCCAACAGTAGGGCAGCTTGCTGCTAGGATCTGGCCAAATGGGACTGGGAGAGATGAGCTAGACATGCCCTGGAGCCCTCCTGAAGTCCCTTCTAGGCCCTACTGGTGGGGTCCCTTGGTCCTGCCTGTGCCCTATTGCAATCTGAAACCCCTCAGGGGATGTCTGCAGGCCAGACTGAGGGACCCCACCGGTGCACGAATTTGTGCACCAGGTCTCTAATAATAAACATATGAAGAAATAATAATAAACATATGAATAAACACATCGAACAGAAAACAATAGGAAAAATGTCATCAAGAATATCATGTTATCATTATTCAATATTTGAGCATCCTTGAAATTTACCTTTTTAATTATCCTATCTAATAAAAAAGAAACATGTAAATTGACCATATCTCTGCTATGCCCACTAGCCATGCCCACCAGCCAATCAGGAGTGAGTATAAAAATTAACCCAACCAAGATGGAGGTTAATTTGCATATCCAGATGCAGAGCGAAGACTGAAGACAGTGTAGAAGGAAGCCAAGCTCTGGAGAAGGGAGTGAAGCTGCACAGAAGCAAGCAAGAAGGGCAGCAGAGATGACAGAAAAGCAGGTGGGATGGTGGAGAAGGGAGGGAAGCAGGCGAAGCAGCAAAGACTGCCACAGGAAGCCCTATTCTTGCAGGAAACTTCCTGCAATGGGCCTCTAGTTAATGTCATAAAAGTATCTCTTCAAATAAAGGTATATTTTAAAAATGAATCTTCATCGAAACTTGTTATTTTATTTATAACTAGAGGGCTGGTGCATGAAATTCGTGCACAGGGGGTGTCCCTCAGCCCAGCCTGCACCCTTTCCGATATGGGACCCCACTCATAATCCAGGACTACTGGCTCCCAACTTCTTGCCTTCCTTCCAGCCTGATCACTCCCTATCCATTCCCCTGCCAGCCTGATTGATGCCTAACTGCTCCCCTGCCAGCCTGATTGTCCCTAACTGCCCTCCCCTGCAGGCCTGGGTTCCCCCCAACTGCCCTTCCCTGCTGACCTGGTCCCCCTAACTGCCCTCCCCTGCTGGCCTGATTGCCCACAACTGCCCTCCCTTGCAGGCCTGGTCCCTTTCAACTACCCTCCCCTGCTGGCCATCTTGTGGTGGCCATCTTGTGTCCACATGGGGGCAGCTATCTTGTGTGTTGGAGTGATGGTCAATTTGCATAATACTCTTTTATTAGAAAGGATAGAGGCCTGGTGCACAGGTGGGGGCCAACTCATTTGCCATGAAGGGTGTCCTGGATCATGGTGGGGGTTTTCTTGGGGTGTGGGGCGGCCTAGGCGAGGGGCCTGTGGTGGTTTGCAGGTCAGCCATGTCCCCTGGTGAACCAAGCAGAGGCCTTGGTATCTGGGATTTACTTATCTTTATAATTGAAACTTTGTAGCCTTGAGAGGAGGCCAGGGCCAGCCAGGAAGCTTGGTTTCCTCCATCGCCAGGGAAACCCAAGCCTACTGCTCATTCCAAGCCATCTTGGTTGGGTTAACTTGCATACTTGCTTCTGATTGGCTTGTGGGCATAGCATAGATACAGTCAATTTGCATGTTTTTCTTTTATTAGTATAGATTTCTAACTTAATAAATATTTTAAAAGTAGCAAAACTGACTGAAATATAATTTCAACCATAAGACCTGCATGTATATGCCTAAATCTCGAAGGTTAAACCTTCTCAGTCAAAAACAGAGACTTAAAATGCCATACCATCTGGCTTGCTGAACAAAGGACAAATTTATATCTTTCCAAAACCTCTACAAGTTACAAGGTTGACTTTTTCAAAGGACGCTGGTTAAAAGTTAGGTGGTTTCTGCGCCCAACATAATGTTAACAATTAATAGTTTTATACCACACCTATTTCTTGTTGGACTCTTCTGGGGATACCAGAGATGGTTTTCCTCCTCCTCAGTTTTCGTCTCCGCTGTAGTACAGATTGTGAATGAACAAGAGAGCAGCGTATACTAGCTTCTCTGTCAAAACCAACTCCTGCAACCCACAAATAAATCTCATTAGCCTTTTAAAATTGCAAACACATTTTCATTTGCTTGGAACACAGTGATATTTATTGAAGTAAAGGAAGGATTTGAATTAAGCTGTAAAAAAATATAAGGGAGCCCTTATTCAGCTCTTATTTAAATTATGCTGCAGTACATTAAGCTTTACTCCTGAATGCAGCTCTCCACAACAGCTTGAACTGCCAAAATTAACAATAAAAGAAAGAAAATAAAAAGCAAGAGGAGATAAAAATAACATCAAAGAATAACCCTCACATAGAAATGATGCCTTAAGGACTTAAATCTTTAGCTACTACTATTTACAGGTCTCTTTCTGGGCTATCTGAAGCTGATATCTATACATAGTAAATTCAGAGCCAAGATGTTAACCCAAATTAGTTCAGCTAACATATTCTGACCCATCTCTTCATTAAATGCATCTTTGTATTTCTCCCCTGTACCTACTATTCCCACCCCTAAAATACACACATGCTGGGAGGAAACAACAGTCTAGAGTTTTGTTTTTTAAATCATCATGTATAGTATATCAACATATGTGTAACTCCATCTATTGAAAAAAAAATCCGCATCATTAACTGGTACACCTAGTAACTGTCTACTTTCTTCTACTGACTAACATGGACATTCTTTGGTTTAGCACCAGTGTCTTATCACTATATAATAAAATACAACGCAGTCCCCAGTCTTGATCAACTGTAAATAAAGCTGGAATTCCCTTACACAATGTGTCTGTTTGCTTTAGTAAATACAGGGGGCAGACCATGATATCTATTAGTTTCTCTCTCCATAGCCACATTATTGACACATTATATGCATTCCTATGCAATCTAGAATGCTGAGGAAGGAGGTAAACGTAAACTCCTCTGGAACAGGCGTGCACCATAGATTTTTCAGATTGAGCTTTGCCTCAGGAAGCCATGATAACAAAAGTGCTTTGGAATCTGATTTTCTCATCATTTATCCTGTTTATTGAATATGGGGCAGGATGGCATGTTAAACTTTGTGGCGCTATATAATGAAGCAGTTTGAGTTTTGCTTAGCATCTCAGTGAGAACAGTTTCTAGAACTCACTTTGAAAAATCTGTATGATATATCACATAATGAATAATTACAATATTATTGGAGAATTTGTACTAATGGAATTTTTATTTCTTAATTCCAAACAAAAATTAAAATCCTTCATTCTAATCATAATAATTATAGAACACGTAGCATACAGACACAGACACTTTTTCTTATATAGGCATAATCAACAACTTGCTCATTAATGCTCTTGAAATTAACAGATAATCTAAGCTTTAGTCTGAGCATTCTTGAAATAAAGCAGAAGGAAAGAAAGATCTTTCCCTTTCCTGAATCACAAGACCCATAATCAAAGAACTAAATTTGAAAACAAGATTTTACTTACAGTGCCATGAAGAAAGCAGGTGCTGCTAATAATCAGATGTCCCCAGAACTGAAAGTTAGTTTATCAGGATGCCAAAGTGATCCATTTGACAGCTGAACTCCCCTAATCCATCCCATTTAGATCATGGGGATCAGATAAGGTATACATTCTGAGAATAATTTCTTCTATAAGTTGAATAGGTCATGAAGAAAATGAACCACCAGCTCACAGCCAACTGACCAACTAGATCTCCTTTTTTTCCAAGAAGGAAATAACTATGCCAGATACAATGTTATCATTTGATCCCCACTTTATAAGAGAGAAATTTGAATGGGGTTAATAATAGCTATGACCAAATTGCATCTCACATAACATGCAATCTGTAGTCATTTGGTATAAGGATGAAAAAATCAGTCATAATATGGCCATTTTGAAATTTTCAATATATAAATAAGTTAAAATATAACTATTAAAGAAGCTTTAAGAAAGCCCAATAAATAGATCATTTAATTCCCATCTTTGAAAGTTAGAATATTTTATAACATTATTTTACTTACAAAGATTACCAGATCCAATTCTGGAATTTACAATTGCTGCCAATAAACTTTTCCAGAAAAGCCTGGATAGGCTTGCGTTCCACCTAAACTAATATTCACACTCTCAATACACAAAAGGAGGAAAACAGAGTGCACAGAAGACAGGCTTTCTGGCTTCAGAGTAGAATTCGGCTTTCATCTATGAATCCATCTATTTTTAGGTCAAAAATCCCTAAAATCGCTTCAGAATTCTAAACAATCTTTTAAGCCAGCCTATCTTCATCCAAGGAAGCATGCAAACAGATTTTATGCTTGGTCTACAGGGTCATTACTTGCAGTTTTAGGAACCCATGGTTTTCTGTTTCGTTTTGTTTTTTTTCTTGCTGTGCCATGCATCATTATCATATGATTAATCACTGCCGCTTTCTCCATTATTTCAGTCAGCTATGGCCAAAGAGCTATTTGGTGAATTTTTTGTTTCCAAAAAGAAACTGTCCATCATTTACATAACAAGTGGCCCAGTGAAACATATGCAAATTGATGTTCAAAGCCTCACAAAAGCATACTGAACATCTTCTGAGTTGTATTCTGATAAAAAGGTATTACTTGGTCACAAAGCAGTATTCTTAATTAGTACCCACAGCAGCACAGGTTCTGAACATCTTTTCTACACAGAATATTCTGACCCAATTGCCCCTAAGAAAAGAACAGAACAATACCAGTGACATTGATGGGAATAATGCAAGAAGAAATCACTTGAGCATCTTGTTTCATCTTCTCTTCTGGTGTCGGGAGAGGTAGTGCTTTGCTCCAGTTGGTCTGCTTGTCCAGTGTGGAGGGGATATTGTGTACTGGGTTTTTCGGCCTCTGTCCTAACATGGCATCTGTATCTTCATCCTCCGGGGGATGGGACTGCAAAGGTAGTACATTGGGACTCAACCATCAGCGTTTATAAATAACACACATATAAGGAATTTCACAGTTTAGTTAAGAAAGATTTGGTCAGAAATAAGCTTTTAGGTCTAAGGAAGAATTCCTATAAATAGTAAACACAACTAATTGAAAGTTCTAATTTGAATAATAAAGTGACACAAGAGGAAAAAGTAAGTTAAATAAATATGCTTTTCAGGTCTAATGGAATTTTACCAGAAATCCCTAAACTTCAATCTAAAGAAAAATGTCTCTAATGCAGTAAGAGGTAGAGCCACTTTCTCGATATCCATCTTGCCATAAATTCCTATTGAAAGTCTTGAGAGCTCTAGATGCTTAGGATCAAAGGGAAGAGATGATTTGGATGCCTATTAAACATTTTTTTTTTACCTATTAAACATTTTTGAAAATGTGCCAAAAAACCTGGAATCAGGAGACATTCCAGAACACATCATCTGAAGGACAAAAACCACCTAATCTGAGAGACCGGATTAAAACACAAGGAGTTATTTTACTCCAGGACTATGAAGTTTGTGAATAACATTTAAAAAATACTATATGCACATGGAAAAGCAAAAGTGAAGAATCTCCCACCAAACTATAGTGAAAATATGAATAGTGTTGGGGGAATTTAAATGAATTTCTTTTTCAAATCTGGAAGAGTAAAAACAGTCCTTATTTATTATCTTTCATCTTTGCAGTGCTAAGCTTTTCTTCTAGCTGTGTAGTTAGAAACCTTGACTTATATAGGACATTATATAGGACATTTGAAAATTCTCCATCCAAACCTTTGATAGATATTAATATTGTCTGACTTTGATTTCAGGTTTGGGTTCCTAGCCCAGATTATTAAAAAAAAAAAAAGGCTCCATCCCAATTTTGATTTCAGATTATTAAAAGACTTAGTTTCCATTACTGAAACTTGTTTTATTTTGTTCCATTATTTAGAGGAAGGCAGGCTTTGTAGAAAAAATAATAATTTTCCTTTTGTTCTAGTTTGATTTTAATAATATTCTATCTTAAAGTCAGGACCATTAAAATTTTTTCTCATCTTCATATTTGGAAGCTCTGTTGACTCAGAGGATTTCACATATTGCCAAATAAACTGTTCTTAAGTCCCCTTATAGAGAAGATTCCAGAGCCGGTTGTTTAAATTAACCCCCAACATTTGCTTACCTTGTCATAGGTATCTTCAATGCCCCCTAATACACTCAACAGGATATGATCCCCCCTTTGAGAAAAATTTGTTTGCCATGAATGTTTTGGTAAAAACATTGCAACCTTCTTTCTCTCTTCAGCTTTTGTGCAGACTCCCGGGGAAGCGAATAGCTCAAATAAAGTTGGAGCACAAAAGACTGTTTCCTAGGTAACTTCCAAAAAGAAAAAAAAAAGTTTGGTGCATGCAAAAAGAGAGACAGAAAGAGACAGAGCACAAGAGCTGGGGAGAAACCCCCACCACCAATGGCCACATTTTGTAGGTGATTCCTTCCTTGAATAACAATGGGCTGAGAAACAAAGAAAGAATAGTGACCTGACTACAGGCTCTGACCAGCAGACAAAAGCACTTTTTATTTAATGGTGACAGGGACAATCGACTGCTAGAGAATCCTTTTGCAGTGTTGTCTTTTTTTTTTTTTAAATTATTATTTGAGAAGATGAACCTTTACAGTTTTGATAAATATAAGACAAACCTTTATAGTTTTGATAAATATAAGGCAAGTGGAATTTCTTTCCTCTGAACTACAAAGTCCAGGAGTAGTGTTAGATGATGCTCTTGTTGAACAGCGCCTTATTTGCAACTTAGGGGTGTGTGTGTGTGTGTGTGTGTGTGTGTGTGTGTGTGTCTGTGTGTAAGGCAAGTGGAATTTCTTTCCTCTGAACTACAAAGTCCAGGAGTAGTGTTAGATGATGCTCTTGTTGAACAGAGCCTTATTTGCAACTTAGGTGTGTGTGTGTGTGTGTGTGTGTGTGTGTGTGTGTGTGTGTGTAGGGGGAAGTAAATGGGAAGAAAAGCCAATGAATGGCATGGCTGTCTAAATTATATTTCAATTCAAGTTAGGAAAATACCCAGTCTTTAAATTGATTTAAACGAATATCTGTGCTAATTAGAAACAACAGAGTTTGCCATAAAGAGAAGAAAGTGAAAGTGTCTGGAGAGAGTGAAGTAGGGTGCAATGGAATGTTTTCAGAACCAGTACCTTTCTACTCCATGGGGTCATGTGGCAACACTCAGTGGGGGAGGGCGAACGGGTGCTGTTAAACTATGAACATGAAATGCAAAAAAAGAAAAAAATTAAAACATGCACACAACACACTGTATACCCTGGTTAAGACAAATCTATGATATTAATGAATGAATGTAATGGGATGACATTTTCCTTTTTCCTTCCTTCATTTTTATTTTATGAGAAGTAGCGTAAATTGTGCTTAAGAGCACAGACTCTGGAGCTAGACCAAGTTCAAATCCTGGCTCTATCACTTATTCGCTATGTAACGGGACAATTACTCAACTCTTTTTCTTTTAAAAAAATATATATTTTATTTATTTTTTACAGAGAGGAAGAGAGACGGAGAGTTAGAAACATCAATGAGAGAGAAATATCGATCAGGTGCCTCTTGTACACCCCCTACTGGGGATGTGCCTACAACCAAGGTAAGTGCCCTTAACCTGAATCGAACCTGGGACCCTTCAGTCTGCAGGCTGACACTCTATCCGCTGAGCCAAACCAGTTTCGGCCAATTACTCAACTCTTCTAAGGTCAGTTTCCTCATCTGTAGGGTATAAAAATAATAGATTCTACCTTCCAGGACTGTTTTGAGGATTAAATGACTAAATATCACAAAAGACTTAGAAAAGTCCTGGCACATAATAAGCTCTATATGTTAGCGTCAGCTACTACTATCACTATTATTATTAGCCCTACTTTGTAGCTGTAAAGATCTGTGAAATTGTTTTTGCAAATTGTAACTTTAATTTTCTATCTTTCAGATACAAATCCCATTTGCTAATTGGGAAAAGAATGAATTATTATCTTTCCTTGGAGTGAGTTTATTTTCCTATGAACTACTTGGAAGAAAATTTCCTGTGTAAAAAGCCCTCTTCTGGACTGTTCAGAAATTGTCTCTTGCTCATATTCATTGACTGTACTGGATGACAGGCCCAGTTTTATGAGCATGTGATCTGTGCAGTCACACAGGACCCCGCACTGAGAAGAACTTCACATGTCACTGTCTTGAAATTCTTAGTTTTTGAGTTAGGGGTATGCATTTTCATTTTGCACTGGGACCCGGAAATTATGTAGCTGGTCTTGTTTGGAGACTAATCTGGTAACCAGAATCCACTTTTCAGTATCTACTAAGACATTAGAACTCTTTTAAAATTCTAAACCATGCCAGCGTTGGGTTCAATTAGGCTTCTATTACAGCGTTTTCCATGTAGCATGGCTTTAATGTAACATGAATTATCCCTGGTGTGTCTTCTTTTCATTTATTAAGTTAAAAATTTCTAGAGGTCAGGAGCTATATTTCATTTTCCTTTCAGGCTTTCATGATGCCAACAAAATGCCTCCTCATTGTAAGAGCTCTAACAAACTATTTGTAAACTTGAATGATACCAGTTCTGTGCTTTTTAACAGTGATGGGAAACCAAAATAAAGTAAGGGTCATACTCAAAGTATCAGGAGAAAGCAGGTGCCACAAATTCCAAGAGAACTTACCATCTTAGTGCAAATAGGTGAAAACAAACAGAGGAAACCACAAGCAACTCTTGGTTCCATTGGTGTCATGGTACTGACAAATGCTGGTTCTAGTTATTCTTAAGCCATTGCCATGTATGCATAGTTGTCCATTAGTTTTTAAGCATAGCAAATGCCATCTCCTCAGGCATAGTTAATTTTTATCTATATATTATTTAAGACAAATGATTTTGTAGGGTCTATCTATGGCTTTCCCACTGAAAGTGATCATTTTGATAGATATGGCATATGTGGCCTGAGTTCAGACACTTAACCTGGCTCTATCATAAGAAGCGGTCACAGATAGTGATGTGCAGGTCTCAAGTAAGACACTGGGGTATACAAATAGAGGCAAAACTCATAGAAATAAGAAAAAAAGGAACCTGACACCAAAACCTAAATGGTAAAGGAATTTGTTTCCAAGAAACCAAAGGCTTTGATGTCTCATGAAAGTATTTCAAAAAGTCAAACAGCAGGAAACTGCAAGGCAGAAAACATATTAACCTGTTAACCGAGTGGGACCTATTAATACGTCAAACATAAACAATATCAGGAACAGGTAGGATGTATGAATACGTCCTTGAAATACATGTTGCGCCCTGAGAGGGACGGTATATATTTTTTGTAATCTTTTAAAAATATATATATATTATTGATTTTTTACAGAGAGGAAGGAAAGGGGAGGGATAGAGAGTTAGAAATATCGATGAGATGAGAGAGAAACATGGATCAGCTGCCTCTTGCACACCCCCCACTGGGGATATGCCTGCAACCAAGGTACATGCCCTTGACCGGAATTGAACCCGGGACCTTTAGGTCCGAAGGCCGACGCTCTATCCACTGAGCCAAACCAGTTTCAGCTATTTTTTTTATAATCTTTATCATTGTTTGTAAAATTTATAATTTTTTAATTCGACGTGTCCCATTTTTTTGTGTCGGTATTCTTTTCTATTTTTTTTGTAATTTTGTATTTTCCTTTGTGCTTTATATATATAAATAAACGAATATATATATATTTCATTTATTTTCATTAAGTATAAATAAATAAAAATAATATGAAATTACGTCCTCCGGGCGTGACGTACTGACACGTCCTAGTGAAAGAGTACGCCCCCGTTACAGGTTGCGTCATTAAAAAGGGAACTCCCCGGTTAACAGGTTAATGATATTAATATATTAACTTTGGTAACTTGTCTTATTATTTATCTCCTAAGTCACTTCTGTTATTTTTTTTTTCAGGAATGAGAGATAAGGAGTAATTTTTTATCTGTTTGAGAAATCCCCAGTCCCATTAAACAAGCATGAGGTAACACCTGGAAATAACTAAAAATAGTCCAGAGAGAGACTGCTCAGACTATTCAGTTTGGGTCATGAATATTAAGTCAAGGTCTCTGTGGGTTACACTCCACAGAATATTCCTTTTTAACTAATCATTCTCTTGATACTGACTCCAACCTCCTGCTTGTGAGGGATGAAATTAGGTGCTCTCGAGCTTGTCTGTGAAAGGATTTGTTCTTTGGTTCTACCACCTAGACACTAGCACTTGAATCCCTGCAGATAGTCAGTTGATTCAGAGTATTTTGATTTATAATATCCAAATAGGCTATGTTTTTATTTCTGCCACGAATTAGTAACAATGTTAGTATAGTGTTTTAAAGCAACATCTTTCCTAGGTGTTTGGTCAAAGGAGGTAAAATTGTTCTGATTAGAATTTTATGTGATGAATGCAATAATCAGTTCATAGATTTTCCCCCTAACTTATCTAGAAATAAAACTGCAAAATAACTGATACCTCAGGGCATCTCTGCATGGCTCAGTATGCCACTCCTTAATGGGTGCAGACGGATCAGGTTAGGAAAAGCTGTGTGATCATACTTGTATGCTGCACTAAATTATTCTTTAAAGGCTCCTTTTAAATGAATCTTATTGCTTATTCTGGGTAAGACCTTTAAGGGCAGGAACCATTTCTTGTTCATAACTGTGTTTCATAACTGAGCCTCAATAATGTTCAATGAATATTTGTTGTACTGCTAGCACCCCCGTGTTACACAAGCAAAACAATCCTTTCTAAAGGTATAATATCAAATTATGTCCACATATGATTGTTCAGCACAGCATTGTCAAAGTGAAAGATAACAAGGTTAAGGAGGAGACAAGAGAGCATGAGCAAGAAATATACCAAACAACAGATTATAGAAGCAGACCCAAAGTAACTTCTGCTTTTAGAATTATTACTCCATGCAGGAATAGCAGTGAACCACCTTGATTTCCCCAGAATAAGTGTGTGGAAAGATTGTTAGACCATTCATTCATTCATTCATTCAAGAGCATTTCTTTGATGAGAGTAAAAATCAGCCCCAATGGAACAAATAAATTAAAAATAATATTTCTCTCCTGAGTATATGCATATTCACTGCATAATTATTAAATAAATATAAATAATTATGCAGTGAGCATGCATATACTAATTATGCAGTGAGTATAAATAATTAAATTCATTGCATAATCCTTTAGACTTTTTTTCTGTACTTTTGAAAATTTTCATAATGAGATGTTGGAGAAAAAGATTTCTCCTTCCTTTTCCAGGCTCCCATTCTGACCTTCCTAACACTGATTTTGAGAAGCCTCAGACTTTAAGTTGTACCATTTTAGAATCAGCCACTACCAGTTATGCCCATCTTGTCCCTGACAAAAGATAATTCTTCGATGCTTTCATCCTATTCTTGTCCCTGCTGGCCTATCAGTTATACTCTCAAATCCTTTCCCTAGCTTCTCATAATTCTGCTTCAACAAAAGCTAGTTACAGTTATGGTGGGTGTTCAAAACAAGAAATAATAGACATTATACTCAAAAGCAGTCGAAGACATTTCTTTGGTGAGTAACAAGATACATTTTCCAAACCCCAATATTTCTAATGTTGTGTATAAGAAAAGTTCATTTCTTCACTTTTTGTGGCTATTTCTCCAAAGACCTCAAGATTTTCCCAGTCCTTTCTCTTACTGCCAAAACAAAAAACCATCCCTCCACATTTTACTTTTTTTGTATTTTATATACTGATGGGTTTTGTTTTGTTTCAGAACTTTCCAAAAGACATCTGTTAAAATGTTGTGGGTATTCCAGCAGGAAATGTTTTGAAAAATTGGCTTTGGCTTGTGATCTAACTGATACCACATGGCACTTATAGCAGTTGACTTTCAGAACTGATTTATTACTATCATGCTGTTTTAAACATGAAAATTATTTACTAGAGAATGGATGTTGTGCAAGAAAGCCCACTGCATGGGAGAAAGCCCACTGCATGGGAGAACATATTTGCAAATGTTATCTCTGATGATGGTTTAATCTCCAAATTTTATAAGGAACTCATACAACTTAACAAAAAGAAGATAAACAATCCAATCAAAAAAATGGGCAAAGGACATATATAGACACTTTTAGAAAGAGGACATACAAAAGGCAAAGAGATATATGAAAACATGTTCAAAGTCAATAATCATCTAAGAGATGCAAATCAAAACAACAATGCG